TATTCGATTTTTACATTAGATTTTGTTTTAGTAGAAATATTGGGAGTATTAGTAGAAATATTTACGAGCTTTATGTGTATTCAAAATGTTGACCCGTAGTGTGGGAGGTACCAGAAAGAGTGAACCGATATACCCCATCTGCTGATCAGATCATGTGTTAATAAAATTATTGAAAACATTTGGAATAATTATAACTTTTTTAAAAAGTGAATATTGGAATATTGAACTTATGTGGGGGAGGTATCAGAAGGTGTGGGCTGTTGTTGCCCATCTCCGAACCTGATGTACGTACAAAATCAGATGCTCCCTTAGAGAGTTGTCGTACGTATCAATCAGACAGATCGACTTCAAATGCCATAAAACGGATTTGGTCATATGGCGCAGCAGTGAAGACTAAAAGACATGCCCATATCTACTACATAATAAAATCAAATGTTAAACCCAATTGCTCCACTTTTCGTATGCTCATATATTTGGAACCAATATTTTTCAAAAACAATCGGTATTTGACGAAACAGATGATACTACTTACTTCATTCTTGAGATAATGCCACAGTCCACAGAAACCACGGGGTCGTGCAAATCTTAGTAGCATTTTGCCTATATTTACGCCCTATGTCGTAATACAGTCGACTCTGCTTTACTGAAACGACAAAAAATTGGCTTGTTCATTTCAGTTATCCGAAGTTTTCGCTTAAGCGAAGTTCGCATAACTGAAAATTTTTTCAGTTATCCGAACTTCGCTTCAGTGAAATTTTTTTCATTTATCCGAACTTGGCAAAAATGAAAAAATCAATAATCCAATTGCATACCCGTTCAAAACAAAAACACACATTTATTGAGTTAAACAAATTTTATTCGCAGAGATCATACAAAATTAAATCAATATACTTTCAGTCTAACAGTGATAAAAATACTATGAAAAATATTAAATTAAAGGAACTTCAGTCGTATCATTTAAGTTAAAATTAAAAAGAAACATTAAAATAACATTCACTATTTTAAAATATATTATCGGAGATATTATTATTTAATTACATTGGAAATAATCTTGCATATTTTTTTGTGTCAACCGTTTTATATTTAATTAGCACATCACGTTTTCAAGATCGTGAATCTTTTGTCGTGCTTCAGGATTGGGTCGAAAATAATCAGTTAAAACATTCATTGCAGCAAAAGCCTCTATTAAAGTAGGTTTTGGCGATGTCTTCTTCAATTACATTATTTTCAGGACAATCTTCATCATTATTTTCTTTTGTACACAGTGTAATATACTATACAATACCATCATCAGTCAAATTTTCGCAACAGGGTTCATTTTCGTCTACCCTAATAAGTTCTTCTATATCAAGTGCAAATTCATCATCCATAATTTCCATGTCTTGACAGTTTAACATACATTCTGCCGTAACGCTATTCCATGATAATTTTATCATATTTAGGGCTTCTAACAAATCTATTTTTTCGAAAAATCTTGTGGGGTAGACCACATTCTAAATGCAAGATTTGCTTAGACACTAACCCCTTTCTGTACTGCGATTTAAAAGAACGTATTATTCCTTGATCAAGAGGTTGAATTAGGGAAGTGGTATTTGGTGGCAAAAATATTGCGGTTATGTTGCTTAAAACTACATCATCCACTATTTGGTGACACGATGCATTGTCAACAAAAAGAACATTTTTTTTATTATTTTCTTTCGACTTTATATCCAAATCTTTTAGAATTTCCGTCCATAACAGTTTTGTCATCCATGCTTTAGAATTAGAATAATAATTTACTGGTATTGTGTTTTTTCTAAAACATCTTGGACTTTTGGATTTTCCTACACAATAAATGTGTTTGTCATTGCCAGTTGAATTTGTTATGAACAACAGTGTTACTCTATCTTTAGACATTTTTTGTCCGGATGGATGTTCATTTTTATGCGCTAAGGTTCCACTTGCAACAAGTTTATAGAATAATGCGGACTCATCAGCATTATATATATTGTCTGCTGAATATTCTTCTAGGTATTTCGGAAGAATGTTTTCTAGCCACTCTTTAGCCCCGCCTGTATTAGCAGAACTTTTTTCACCGCTCAGGTTTTTGAAGTGAATATTTTCTCGTTTTTTTCCACCGCTCGAGCCAACCATTCGTTGGTTTAAAATTTACATTAAACTTTTTTGCAAAATCATCTGCTTTCTCCAACAATAACGGCCCAGTTATTGTGGCCTGTTTTGATCGCATATCCTTGAACCAAATGAGTAAAGCATCTTCCACATTTTTATGTGATCCTGTCCTTTGTCTTTTCATGAAAACATTTCTGTTTCGATCCATTACATTGGTGATAACTTGTTTATTTTTTACAATTCGACTTACTGTCGCGGCACTACACGTAAATTGTTCACAAATTTCTTTTCTGGGAACACCCGATTTCAGATTTTTTATTATTTCCATCTTTTCCTTATAAGATAAACACTTATATTTACTGGACATGTCTGATTTCTTTGAAATAATTTGAATAGAACGTTCTTTTGATTCTTCTGTTTATTTTGTTTTCGTTTCACTTATCCAAGTATGTAGAAAGAAATAACGAGAATTGTGTTATCAAAATGTTAATAATCGATATCAAATATTACATGTTCCGTCATTCTCCTCTTTTCTAGTGAGTTTGTTCAGTTATAATTATGTAAACTAGATGGCATTATCTAGTAATTAAAAAATATATGGCAATATTTGTTTTTTCAGTAAAGCGGAGTGATTTCAATAGAAATTGCAATATTTGAAATCAACCACCATTTCACTTATCCGATATTTTCAGTTATGCGGAGTTTCAGTAATGCGAATTAAATAATAAGAAAGTGACCTAAAAATGTAATGGTGCAGGAACTCAATTCCAGTTATCCGATATTTTCCAGTAAAGCGACTTACAGTAAAGCGGAGTCGACTGTAATGGGTATTCAAAAACAAAATTTGAAATCTCTTCATTTTCCTACATATGATTTCCTTTATCTCCGATATTTCACTCGTCAACGAAATCAGTAACAACGTGAAAGTCCGAGGTGCGCCTTTTCGTTACTTTTTATATAAGCAGTCCAACTAACCTCCCCCTCTTTGTTTTATGATTTAATATATATTTTGATATATATACGATAGCTTGTATATCAGCATCAATGTAACGGTCAGGTGTTACCTTTTCGTGTACTTGTAATTTCGCTGGAATTAAAAATATTTGCGGTTTACTGAAAATGTTATTGTTTTCTATATGAAATATTATTGGATAACCATCCAAGTTGGTAAACTATGTAAAATTCCGAGTCGATAGGTATATAATTGTGTCCTCTAGAGCAACTGCCAAATCAAGAAACTTGTCTGTTTTTGGTCCATTTCAACCTATAAATATTTTGCGATTATCTCCCCCACGCAAATTTCGTGGGGATCCGTGTTGTAGGGTATAAAATTTAAATTAAATTATTTTATTTATATTATATAAATTTTTTGTTTTCATCATTTCACCACATATTCAATGGGATTATCGTGTGTTTCGAATGGTCATGTAGAAAACTCCCATTTATTTCATATTAGAAGACATAGGAACTACGGCCTTGTCGAACTAGGCGTTTCACTTGCTTAACTTCTTAAATTGTTAACGTTCATAGTCAAAATTGGATTTTAGACTTCGTTTGCAACCCCAGACTCTGAAAATATTGAAGTTGGCTTTCTTTATTACAATTATTGTTAATTACCTTCAACCAAATTAGCGACATATGTAGCCATCTCATTTGTCGTTAACTTAGCTAATAGCTTCCATGTATGTTGCTGAACATATGCAATAATTGTTATATTCTCGTTTTGTTCATTGAAATCCTTTACTCGAAGGATGTGCGACAAAAAAGTTGTATGTGGTTTGTTGGGTGTTAAATGAAAATCCTTTTTACTTGTTACATTTATCGTTTATAAAAAATAACTTGAAATAATTGTAGAGTGGTATTTTGTACATAGCATCAAGAAGAGCAACACTTAAGCATATACCTTTTATCTCCTTACCCTGGTGGTGTTTGGCCTTAGTAAAATATACAAATTGTGTAAATGTCTATATTTACAATTCAATTAATGTTGAAAACCCTAAATAATATGTACTAAATTATGATGACAAAAATCATAAATTGATTTTAATATTATGTTATTATACCCTCCATCATAGTATAGAGGGCACATTAAGTTTGTCATTCCTTTTTTAACACCTCGATATACATTTTATATCAAACAAAGTATATATATTCCTAAACTGCATAAAATGCTATGCCGATTTAACGATTTCCGTCCGTCTCTCTGTCTGTCCGTCTGAGGAAATTACTCTAGTTTCCAAACGAATTGAAAAAGGTTGATAACATTTTACTCAAATGTGTGTTTGTTCTGCAGGACTTTTGGTATTGAAAATGGTACTTCCCTATATTCGGTGTTTTGATGATTTTATCGGAATTGTTTCAGATTTCACCTGGATTGTTCCAGATTTCGTATTTGAGGCTCCTAATGAGTACTTCTGTCTATGACAGAAAATTGTTTATGCAGGTCCAGGTCCTCGTATAGCCCCCATATATCAGTACCTCCCCATATTCGATATTTTGAGGTTATAGCGACATTATTCACCGGAAATGTTTTAAAATTTGGAATTTAAAGTTCGTAATGGGTACTACAGCCTCTGACAAAAATTGGTTATTCAGGTCCAGGTCTTAGTATAGCCCCCGGTATATAACGGTACCTACCGAATATAGGGTATATGTGCGAATCAATAATTTATCAATAGTGTCAGAATGTAGATTGAAGAGAAGATTGTATTCATTAAGAAAACGCGCACGGTCACTTGCCTCAGACTGCCTTAGGCTCTTGCCATAAAGAACGGAAATTATGATAATACCCTTTTATTTCAACTCTCTTACAATCTATCTACAATTTTATGTTTACCATAGGACCCCAACTTTTACAGTCAATGAAAAATAAATATTTTTAAGAAATTAAATTCCATTTAATCTTATTATGTTGTGCGTGCAATATTTTTCTCAATCACAAATTATTCATTTGTTTTGACGACAATGCTTTATCGCGGAAATAATAATATCAATGGCACATTACATTTATCGAAATATCGATCTATTTGAAGGACATCTCTTCCGCTGATTGACATTTTGGATGGATGATTATTGGAATATGTTGGCTCTTAGAAGATTCAAGTAAGTTTTTATACCCATAGCCATACATGATATTAATGATGTTAATTTTTGACGAATCGTCTTGTGACATGGAATAGGAAACGATATAGGTCTGCATAGTATCAAAATCTGAGTTTGTTAATGCATGTTCGTCAATCTGCCTGTCTACTCAGCTCACTGTTCGCCCATGTATTTTGTAAGTAACAGTACAGGACACATTTATTGTCCAATTGTCAACCCCCAAACATAAAACTAATTTTATGCCCTGAACCTAATTTTATTTAAAAACATTGGCTATTGGTTCAGTCTTCAATAAAGCTATACATTATCCCTGGGATACGACATTAGCACCGAATAAAAATGTATTAAGTTTTATAAAAATGAACTGAACTCTCAAGATTAGATAGGCATCAATTTAGATATAGCCTCCATATATGAACAAGAAAACTTGTAGTTTCTATTCTAGCTCCTACACATGATACTCCGACCATATTTAAATGACTTTACATATGTCAAATTCAATTCAGCTTTCCAAGTTAGGCTAAGTCGGTTTAGGTATTTCTCATACATATATGTCATTCGACTGCACATTTACATTGTTCAATCGGCCAGCAAATGCTTGTGTTTTCATTAACCATGTGGTATACCAAAATTATCAAAATTACGGTTTTAAACCTCTTACTCAATATCGGCAATATCGGTATACTTCTTCTGGTACCTTCCCCACAAAGGGTCAACGTTTGGATATCGACAACTCTAATAAATTTCTAAATAATTCACTACGTTTGATATGTATTCCCATACATTCTAGTATTTGTCGCACAAACGGTAAATTGTTTCCAAAAAAGGAAATGCAAAGCAGTGGAGGCTCCCGAACAAGATGAAATTATGCATAACGCGAAAATAAGCAATATCTGTCTATTCCTCTGATACCATCCATAAAAATAAACCAGTAAAGAAAATCTTAAAGTCGGGCGGGGCCGACTTTATGATACCATATTTCTGAGCTCTATTTGATATATTTCCCTGAATATCGTTGTTACGGAGTGCATATTACGGCTGTGGGTAACAAATATGATAAATCGGATGAACAGTATACATGGGAGCTATAGCTATATCTGAACCGATCTTCACTAAATTTGACATACTAGCTTCTAGACTCAATTCGGTCGTAAGTGCCAAAATTCATCCAATTTGGGCAAATATTTGACGTTTGGTCACAATCCAATGTAAATCGGACGAAGTTATATGTGGGAGCTATATCCAAATCTGAACCGATCTCGATAAAATTTAGCAAATGTATTTCTGAGCTGTATTTGATAAATTTCTAAATATTGTTGTTACAGAGTGCCTACACCACAAGGTGGTCAGGGTATTATGTCATTGTGCATTTGTTTGTGACAGGCAAAAACAAACGAGATAGACCCATAGTTCCTTTTGATGATCTACATAGAATCTCATTCTGAACCGATTTATGCATGTCCGTCCGTCTGTCCATGTTTTTTCTTTTTTTTTTAATTATAACTTTTTAAATTATAACTATAATCATAGTTGGTATGATTTAATTCTCATAAATTCTCATTAAAAACTTTTATTTGTTATGTAAAGTTTTTTTCCGGTCCCGCCCTGCTTTAAGACATTCTTTACAGTTTTTTTTTTTTTTTTTTTTTTTTTTTTTTTGTGATAGTGATACATAATTTTTGGTGATTAAATTCTTTATTTTTTATTTGAAGGAGTGCAATTTATAGATACCCTGGCTGCACTGTTTTTTTTAAGTATATGTACTTGTGTATTGAGGCTAGCAGTACTCGCATGTATTACTGTATATTGCATATATATCGAAGTATTTTTGGAAATGTATTATGCGAATTATTGTAAATTTGTTTGATGTAACTCTAATATTTTTGAGGAATGGTTTGCCTTCTAGATGACTTTCCAACCAACTTATAGTTTGTTCATAGAGTTTTGTTCATAAATGCATTATTCTAGAACTAACTACAAAATGTTTTGAAAGTCATAAGGAGATCAACCAGTTGAGGTTACTTAACTAAGCCAAAAATATGATCTACATTGCTTTAATATATTTCCTTTTTTTTGTCATAGCACCCATACAGCACAGAGGTATTTTGATAACCCAATGCAAATCGGAAAAATATTATACGCATTTTAAATTGAATGGGTTTTGTACTTGTTGTGGATTCCAAATGGAATCCACCATTACTTGCAATCTCAGTGGAAGGAAACATCCTCGAAAATAATTTTAATGGGAAAAAGGGATATGTTTTGTTGCATTATACAAAATACTTCCACTAACCATAGTACGCCGGCCCCCTCTTTCATCTTATGAACTTAATATTTCTATACAAAATTAAATAAATTCTTTATACAAAGTAAGGATAAAAATGTTAGATTGGAAATATATTAACATGAATATATCAAATTCCAAATAAAATAGTAATTTTATTGAAACCAAGAATCAGTCATACTGAGGTCAAGTCACGCACAAATTTCTAAATTTGATTGAAAAAATGTATTTTTCGATCAATTCACACTTTCACGCAGGCAATTACCAATGTTAACATAAACAAAAACTAACGTCCATAACATTGATAATTTGCTTCCATTTGTTTGTAATACGGATAGTGCTTCATAAAAGTGTTTGTTCCGGCTATTTGGATGGTATCCTGTTGTTTAAATATGTAAACAGAATTGCATTCGTTCTTAAAATTAACCCTTTTATACTGATGTTACTTTTGTTATCAACCGTAAAAGCCATTACAGGTAGCAAACCGAAAATCCAGAAAAATGCAATCAAACACGCCAACACATTTTAACGTTGTGCGAGGGCGGTTCGGAAACTTCTTTGCGTAGTTTGTCAAAAATATTATTATTTTTCAATATAATTTCCTGAAACTTCAATATATTTCCGTTTCCAAACGTTTCCGAACTGCCCTCGTATTGGTCTGTGTAGTCGTACGCGTTTGAATTGATTGAGAGTTATTGATAAATAACCAAAAACAAATCAACCTACTAAACCGTTACTTCAACAAAAGCTGTCGCAAGAAATAAGTGGTTATTTTTTAGGTATTGGAACCGAAAAATATGCAAAAAACATTTTTTTTAATTTTAAAATTAATGTTTCATACAATAGTCTTGGCATGTTTTTTCGGGATATCGTAGTTATTTTGCTGTTGCAAAATAGTTAGACTTAATCATATTATTGCTGTTTTTATTTTACCAGCGGGTAAGAAAGGGAATAACATGGTTTCGGAAAAACCCACCGATCCTGATCAATTCCCCGCCTTACCCCCTGTTGTTTTTATAAAAGCAGTAATAATAGGATTAAGCCTAACTATTTTGCAACACCCTCCAGAATATTTTCGCGATAATATTCGGCGATGCCACTGTCGATTAATATCGGCGGCCCACACCATCACCATGGCCGACGCTTGGGTTCTGGTGGCCAACCGAAGGTGCACATTTTCAGCTGACCTCTTTGGCAAGTAAACACGATCATTTTGTTTGTTTACAAACTGCTGGAAAACGAATGTTTTTTAATCGGAGGAAACCAAATTCGGCAGTTCACCACTTTGGGTCAAGCGAAGCAATTCTTTAGCTCTTTTGAGTCTATTTTCTTTCTGTTGCGTTGTAAGTTCTTGCTTACTTTACCCCGAGCTCATTTTTCAATATTTGCCGAATGGAATATTGGGATATGTTCAGCTCACGATCAAGTCGCTTCTTTACTTTTCGAATCATTTCTGCTGATGTTGCTGTTTCTTCCGTCCACTTCCTTGACGTCGGGCTACGCTACCAGTATCATGGCAACGAGCGATGGTACGAGACACAAAAGATTTATTCACATTTAAATGCTGGAGTGCTCTAACGATAGCCATTTGTTGTTTTCCAGCCAAGAATAAAGAAATCATACTATCACGCTTGAATTCCATCGCGAATAACTTTTTTTTTCTGGAAAATTCTCACCAAAGTACTTTTGTAAGCTTGTAAACAATATAATGAGCTGTTACTGGAATAATTTTAACAGCTTTTGGATGAGTGGCTTAGAAATGACAGCAGTCTGAAGTTGGTTGCAGTTTTATCATCTCACCCGTATATCTCAATTCCAATACCAACAGAGACCACAACATCCAATTTTAGTATTCTAACTCTATCCTTTCACCCAACAGATCTTAGTAATTGCCGTAAAATTATAGCATACATTTCCAAAATTTTAAATTTTAGTTCCATTTAGTACAATTCACATACTTTGTACACATTTCCAAAACCACTTTCATATATCAAACTCACCTGATTGTCATACCAAATTTTTTATCCGACCACATAATTTCAAGGGTACCATTCTTCCAGAATTCTAGTTTAAGTACATTTTAGTACTATTCGTATATAACATTTTCATCAGCATTGAAATGACAACATTTTCTTAAACATTTTTTTACCATATTTGGCCTCTACTTTTTCAAAAAATTTTAAACGTGCACTATGTACAAGATACAGTGGACCGAAGTTCCACTTCCTCTAATATTGACAAAAATATTTGGATGCACAAAATTTAAAGAAATTCGAACACTTATTTACAAATCTATATTTTTAATTGTGAGTTGTTTAATTGTTAGTCAAAAGTTCAACCAGAAGAATATCTTAGATCTATGGATAACATAAATATAGATACACAAAGCTTGATGAAAATCACTGACTTGTTTCACATGTTAAAGAGTTATTATTATTTAGAATGTTAATCCATATTCTCATCCGATTTCTGGATGTGAGATATGTAAAGATAAACCAAGTTTGAAAAGAATAACTGACTACTAGAAAAAGTGGTCCCATATTGGGATGTTTGAAATTATAAGATCTTATGATTGTTTTTGTTATTTAAAATATGTATCCTTTGTGGGAGAGGTACCAGAAGGAGTGGACCGATTTTTATCATATTCACAACAGATCTTATGTTGATAGAACCATTGGGGTGTTACGAATTTCAAAGGGATCGAATGCTAATTTTG